GCTCCCTCCGCTCCCACCGGCCCGGCACCATGACCGTCACACGGCTCGACCAGGGGCAGCGCCACCGCCCGCGGATGGCCTTCCTGAAAAAGGTGAGGGTTAAACAGCGCCGGGGAACAACCGCCCCGTTATGGGCATCAGGACCGGCGGGCACGGCGATGCGGTGACCGGGGCAGCGCTGACCGGTGCTCCGGGAGGGGGGGATCTGTGTTCATAGCATCCTGCCCGCTCACGGCTCCCCGGGGCCCCTCTGGGTGTGTGGGGTCCGAGGGGTGACAGCCCCAGCCGCGGGGGTTTGGGCCATGGCCTGTTGTGGAGCCCCGTGGATCCCACCCGGCTGGAGTTCAGGCTGAGGGGCAACGTGTGCTGAAGTCACGGTGGAAATAAATCTGTAATTTTGTTTATTTTTGTAGCTTAACCGCAGCTGAATTATTCTCCTGACACATTTTCCCATTCTCCCATCTTTTTCCCCAAAGACCCTCAAACCAGTGTAATTTCCCAGGGGAAAACCCATCACCTGCGGTGCCGGGCCACTCAGTTCAGCTCTGGGCCACAGTGGGTCCAGTGTCTGCAGTCCCAGGGCTTCCACCTGATGCCCGCTTCCAGAGGATGTGTCGTGGCCAACTGCCTGCTCTCTGCCTCCTTCCACTTTTTCAGAAACAAGCGTATTTGTGACCAGAAACACTTGAAAGAGTGGAAAGATTTATGCCTACGCTCCTGGATGTGATGCGTAATTTTGTAAAGCATTCCGTTTTTTTTTTTTTTTTTTTTTTTCTGTAGCATTCATTCAAAAGTGTAGCCAGTTTTAGTATAGCTGGTATCTGAGTATCAGAGTGTTAAGCTAGCTTTTCTCACACCCACCTCTCCTGCCTGTGGCTTATCCTGTTGCGTGGAATTAACTGAATTTCCAGTGACGAGTACAGCCAGCCAGTTGCTGTTCAAGTCGTAGTTAGCTCTCCTGCAACGCCCACGACCTGAGGAGGATTCTGGGGGGGAAAAGGGGGGAAATTTGGGGCTGTTTGGTGCTAAGGTATGAGCCTGGCGATAGAGGCACTGTACTTTTTATGCTAGAGGAAGTAAAGAAGGTGTATCCTTTGGTGCTGTGTCTTTCAAGGTAAATGTGTCTGGGGAGCCTGCCAAAGGAAATAACGCTGGGCCAAATTCTGCACTGAGTAATACTCCGTGGAGTTGTGTGTGGGGGTGCAGTGGAGAGGCTGTGTGCTTTGAGAAAACAACTTCCAACAGCTGGGCTTTAGCCGCTCGGTAGGAGCACAGCAGTCTTTGCAAAGTGCTCCCTGTTCCTCAGGTGGGAAGATTTGTTAAAATACAGCAAACTGCTGCCACAAAGCATGTGCTACTCACACCGTGAGCGGCGAGAGGGTTTGAGTAGTTCTAGTGCTTTGCAAGTCTAAGACCTGTTAGCACTAGGAAAGGAAGCTCCCACATAAAGGCTTTGGCTCTCGTCTCCGCTTTCTTTTCCTCCTATGTTCTTTCCAGACCCCGGGGAAGCTGTGTTTGGAGCCTCGGCTGTTACATGACAGTGTGGGATGGATGTATCCTCAGAGCTGCCCTGAAATACTCAGCACCTTCACTGGTTGCCTGTGGTGGGAGCTGAGGATGCTTGACACACGTCCAGCGAGCACCTTGCAGGCTTCGAGCCGCGAGGAGCTAAGATCCTAGAGAGAAGCTTTCTTAATTGCTTAAGCCTGTGCTCAAGCTTTGCCACCAGCTGGCACATGGGCTGTAACCATGGGTTTGCTCCAGCTGCACGGAGGGATTCCAGCCGTGCTGTCAGGCTGCTGGCCCTGGGATGCCTCTGCAGCTGTGGTGCATCTCAGTGCGCCGGTTCTCCGGCAGGCAGCAATCCTGCCATCAGGCAGAGGGAGAGGAAAGGGGCTGCTCTGAGGGCGGAGAGCAGTGCCATGTACTTGCTGTGAGGCTGCTCTGCACAACTCTCGGGCTGGATGTAGAGTTTGGTCTTCGTGGCCGGACCATGGGGGAATCGGAGAGCCCCCTCCAAGGCCCTGCAATGTCTGCTAGTCCATGAAATACTCATGACTGATGCTCAGGTGGTTTTATTCTGTTTTTTTTTTCCCCCTCCTAAACCATCTCGGTAGGAAGAATATTGGCACAAAAGTCTGTCGGGACAGGGAGGAAGCCTCTGAAGTGCATTTTGGCTGTGTGCGCTTGGCCAGATGTTGGGAGAGCTTGAATCAGCCCAAGCTCTTGGTGCCTGTGCCTGCCCCAGCAGCCAGAGTCTGGCCTCTGTTGGCATCAGCTGGCAAAGCAGGAGGCCGCGCAGGGCAGGGCTGTGCTCTCCAGCCGCTGCTGGGCTGTGTATTTTTCCTTGCTGTGCTACATGAGCTGCATTGTGACTCATACCTCGTGGGTAGGGCTGATGGATGCCGCTTGCCTTTTTCCTTTGCCTCCTCTTTATTCTGGTCCTCGATGGCTTCTCCCAAGGCAGCACTACAACTTAGGAGGGACCAGCCTGAGGTCTGCAGTGTGGCTTGGGGCTTCTCCATCCTGGCTTTGAATTTCTGGGCTTCAGCCCTCCCGCAGCTGCTGGCCCTCATCTACCTGGGCATCACCCGAGGTGTGCGAGCACCTGAATTGTGGTTTTGCTGGAAGGAGCTATCCATCAGACTCCTGCTTTCTGTTTAAGTGAGGTCCTGGACTTGGCTGAAGCTGAGCCTTAGGCCAAGCTTAGCCTCATCCCATCCTCCCTTCCCACATCCCAGAGGGGGAGATGCCAGTGCTGCGCGTTTCTGCAGAGCATTGCACCGAGCGTGCCGTGCTCTCAGCCCTGCTGAGAGGTGATGCGCTTGGCCTGGTGGGACCGTGATTCTGTTTGGTTTTGTTGCCACGTGGGTTTAAGTGGGAGGCTTGGCCAGAGTGGTGGCAGCACAGGGAGGGAAGAAGGAGCGTGTGGAGAAAGCCAGCTACAGCCCTGCCTTCCCTACTCACAGATTCACTTCATTTGGATGTGGGATCACTGTGCGCTGGGTGAGAACAGGCGTCTCCTTTCAGCTTTAATTAAGGAAAAGCAGAAAGTTTTAGGTGACTAACAATTTTTTTTTTTCATTTCTTTATTCTGACATCCATGAATGTGGAAAGCAGGATTGTTAGTTGCAGACCTAGAAAACAATTGAATTAGCTTTCTGAGGCTGGAGTTGTGATGGAGGACTGTACTGCTACCTTGGAAATCAGAGCAGGGAGGGATGATCTTTGCAGGCAGTACAGAGAGGGGCTAGAACCGGGCAAATATGATGGAGAAAGCAGCGGTTGTTTAATTATAGCACCAGGAGTGGGTACTTGGTTGTGAGCTGGAGCCTGCTGGGAAAATGTGTCTTTCTTACATCTGAAGCAAAGATGCCTCTGTCTGGGTTGACGCTGTGAGGGGCTGAACTCCTCACCTTGGAAGTGTTTTGCTGTTGCATGCAGAGTGTCAGCACCTGGAGCCCGAGGCTTCGGCAGTGTGGGTGCCCTGACCTTTGGGAGCTGGCGGGTGCCGAGAGGGTAAAGCTCAGAGAAGGAAGGATGGGAAATGCACCCAGGGTAATTCACCCAAGCACTCCATCGGTGCACCCACTTCTCCCTTCTGTGGGAGAGCAGCTGTGCTGGATCCATCCACCTCCTCCAGAACCATGGGCACCCCACCAGTCGCTGAGCATTTGCAGAGAGGACCCTCCCCAGGGCTTCCCACATGCTCTGGAAATGCAGCAATGCCTTTTCTTATCATTTGTGAGTTTGAGTTTGGCTTTGCACTCAGTGAACCCGGTGACTTTTTGCAAGCAGATGGGGGGGGGGCAGACAGTTTTCCTGTTGTCTCCTCTGTGGCTTTTGGGTGAGGCCATGTCCACGTAGAGATTCTGGTTGATATGAAGGGCGACCTCAGTGAGGCTCGTGGCTGGTGGTGGCTTGAGGTGAGCTCACCCCAGAGCCTGGCTCCTTTAACAAGTTCTCCTTGCTGGTATTTACCTCTGCTTGCATTTCCACACATCAACCAGCGTCAGGAAGTGGCTTTTGGCTCTACAAAATTGAAACCAGACAGCGCTTTCCTGGCTGAAAGCGTGACAAAATGGGCTAGAGCCGTTAGCAAAGTAAGCAAGTGTTCCCACTGTATTTTAACCGGCCCTCCTGGCCTCTCCCCGACACGCTGGTGCTGGTAGCAACTCCTAATCACCAGCAACCCCTAATCAGCAGCGTTCCGTTAGGAGAAAAGGAGGAGACAGGCTGAGTTTTGATCAGCAAAGTGCATGGTTTGCAGCCAGAGCGGCAGGCACCCCCCAACAGCAGCTCCCTGGCTCATTTCACTTGTTTCTTTTTAATATATATTATTTCTCCAATGACAAGAGGGAGCCCGCTGGGGTATGAATGTGACAGGAGTCTGGAGCTTTTTGCTGATTGAAGAAAGGGAACATGCTGTGCTGGGAGGCTGTGTGGGAGCCAATTCCTCGCTCTCGGCTGGTAAAGATCCGTCTCTGGAACCCACCGGGGAGCAAATGTCAGCCCCGTGCTGGGGCAGGCTGTGCTGTGCTGCTTGCAGGGAACAAATCCTGCCTGAGCCTGGTGGGACCTGCCCCGTGGTCACGGCACAGCGGTGCAGTGGTGAGGAGCAGTGCTGCATCTACCCCCAGTATCCCCCAGTGCTGTCTGCGGAGAGGACATCCCTTACGGGGTGAGCCTCTTCCCCAGGATACCCGTCATTGCTTAGAGGGAACTGAATCTGAGTTTCCTAAATTACTGCCCTGCCTGCTGGACCGTCCTGCCTCACCTCATCTCACACAGCTACACGGGCATCTCTCCATGCTCAACCTTGAACTTGCTGAGGCCAAAACTGGGGGTTCAGTTAAAAGGTCTAAAACCCCAGAAATCTTCATATTCCATGGCTTTGGGTCCAGTTTTGCTATTTTTAAAATATTTTCTATATTTATACAAATATTTGCGTGAAATATTACCAGGCTTCTCTGTTTTAGTATTAATTTTACACTGGCTTTAAAACAAGTTGAAAATCCATTTTTTACTGTCAAACCCAGAGTGCATCCTGTCACTACAGGCTTAAATCCTCACTGCGCTTGGCAAGGTTTAGGACCAAAGTCACTGTGGTGCCTGTGAAGACAATACTTTTCATTATGCATGAGTGTCATCAAGTTGTGCTCGTTAAATCCTCTAATCCTAATTAAAAAACTACAGCCTTGCCCAAGATGAATGTGCGGAGAGACCAAATTGGTCCTGTTGGACCAGTTTTGATTTAGTATCTCTGGAAGCAGAAGACAAAAAGAAGAGCATCTTCCACAAAGCCAGATAATCTAAAATGAGGAGATGAGTGTGCCCCAACTCTCCCCGTCTGAGTGGAAGTTCCTAAGGGCAAGAAAGAGGCTCTTGTGCTTTTGGGATGGTGCTAGTAGGAAGTCAAAAATAAGAGGAGGAAAATACCTTTAAAAATTGTTGTCTTTAAAAAAGAAATAAAATTGGGAACCAGAAATAAAAGAATACTGGCCCTGAGGGTGAGCTTCATCCTCTGTAACAGGATCTGTTAAAAACGAGTCATCAGCAGCATCCCTCGGGAATCAAAGGCGGGAGATGCTGCCAGATAGGAGGGTGAGTTGTTCCGATGGTGTCTGTGCCCGTCCTCGGAGGGACTGAGCTTTGCTGCCCACAGACAGGACTAAGGCCCAGGGTGGGTGGGTGCAGCCGGCCACAGGAACGGCCGGGGAGTCCCTTGTACCCCTCCTTCCTCCGGGCTGGGCTCTGTTTCAGTGTTTGCAGTCTGCTTTCCCACATGTAAATTCTGGTCCCCGCTGTAATCAGTCCTTGGCCAGCTTTTCAAAGCCTTGGCTCGGATGGTGGCTGTGCTTTCTCAAAGGACAGGCCGTTCTCATCTCCCCTGGGTTTGAGCTTCTTGCTCAGCCCCGGAGCAAAGCGGTGTGCTTTTCCTGTTGCTCTTCTAAAGTCTTGTCTGGTTATTATCTGCAGACCAGAATCAGAACCTTTGCTGTTTGGTCTCCAGCCAAAATATTGCTTATTTTCTTGGTACAATATCTACAAGTCCATGCACAGCTGGATTATTTGTGCAATAGAAGCACAGATTTTATTTCCTCCCCCCCTCTTTTTTTTTTTTTTTTTTTTTTTTTTTTTTTTTTTTTTTTTTTTTTTTTCTTATTGCCCCAGCAAATAGCCCACTAAGCCAGAGAAGAACATTTATGGATATCAGAGATTATTTTTTTTAATATATTTTTTCTTTTTAGCTTAACTCCCATGAAGTAGTTACATCCTGTCCCTTGTCTGCTAATGCTGGCCATACGTGTGTGTCTTCTGTAGGAGGGAGTGACACTGTGAGTCAGTGTGAGAGCTGACATGGTTTGGAGGTGGCACCTCTAGTGGCAAGGGGAGGTTTGCAGAGGACTGTGGCCACTGCATCCCTTCCTGTGGCGTGTCCCTGCGCACCCACCTGGGATGCTGCGCAGAGCTACAGCGGTCCTGGGGCTCCCTCCTGTCCGCCTCTGTAACACACCCCATCCCTGCCGTGCTTTGCAGATCGAAGCGCTTATGATGGAGATGCAGAATCCAGACACAGGCATCAAGACGCAGACGCAGAGGGTGCTGATCACGAACATCCCACATGCTGTGGCAGGTAGGAGCTTCGCCGGGGGCAGGGACCAGGCCAGGAAGTTCATCAGAGAAAAGCTGTGTGTGGACCCTGTGGCCACCCCAGGGTTACCGCTATCTGGCTGCATACTGGAGCCTGCGTTCCCAATAAATATTTGCTGTACATCCTTTGAGGCGTACCTGCTCCCTTTATCTCCTCGCTCATCTCACTCCCAGCTGTTTGAATCAGAGATTCAAAAAGATTGATAATCACACTCTTTTAGCTGTCTCGTGTGAGTTTAACTCAAGGGACCTTGTTTCCTCTTGGTGAGTAGGTGCTTCGGCCTCCAGACCTGTCATATTCCCAGTAACACTGGATCACAAGGAAAGATAAATATCAAAATCCAATTAAAATAGGCAGCCTGGAGTCAGACTGAAAGATGGTACTTCAGAAATGAGCAATAAACAATTATTCTTCCCTTTTTAATGTTTTCTGCTCATAGTAATTTTTCTTCAGTATGCAGGAAAGGAACAAAATATTCAACCCACTTCTCTGCCTCTACATGACAGCTTTTCCTCCTTCAAGCAGGCTGAAGAAGAAACAGATGGGAGCTGTGCTGTGTCATGGATGGCATTACAGGCAGCTGCTCTTGTTGTCTCCTTTGTGCCTGCTAGCTCCTTTCACAGGGCACTCTCAGTACCTCTGCTTCCCTGTTCTCCAAGCCTCTGCAAAAGCTCTTGGGAGGGATCCTCCACTATAAATATTCACGTGTGCTGTGAATCGTTTCCTCTTCCTGCTTTGGTCTTTCTGCAGCACTTTGAAATTTAGAACAAAAACTCCTGCTGAAACCAGTGAGCTTGCTCTAGGCAACTCAGGAGACAGTTTAGCCAAAGAAATTATTTTTTCCCCACTGTATTTGCAAAGCCCAGTAGGCCCTGGGTGTTGTTTGCCCCGATTTTTTTTCTTAAATGAGGAAGCAGAGGCACTGAGATGAAGTCACTTGCCCATGGGTACAGTCAGTCATTGAAAGAGTAAAGGAGAACTTGGACAACATCTGAAGCTTGTTCTCAGCAGCACCCTCCATGCATTACAGCACAAACCATACCCTGGCTTACATTGCTGTTACGCAGCTGAGTTTGGTGGAGTGCTCTGCATCGGCAAAGGAGCTGGCCTTGCCTCCCTTAGCTGTTAGTGAATAATCTAGGCAGTGCTGCAGAAAAGATTCCTCTGTACTGAAGATGACATGCCACCTAGGTTAAGTGCAGGGGGAACAAGTACTTCTCTTAATGTCTGACCAATGTAAAATACCACTTCCTAAAATTCCATGGTTAGATGATGTGGAGGGAAGATGCCCGTTGATGCTCATCCTCTTTGTGTGCTGTCTGCCTTGTTCTGGTTCCTTAACCAGGATTGCTACAAGTTCCCTCTTGTTAAGTCATAAATTCTAGTCGACTTCCGACAGGCAAGTGAGTTCCAGTTTCCTTTCATGGTGGTCATCACTCTATAAACATATTTTTAGTGCTGTGCAAGTTGCATATATACTGGTTGGCTTCTGGGTGTTGCAAAAGAGACTGATTTGTGTTTAGTGAGGGAATGGTGAAGACGTTAGAGCAGTGGACACGGATCCACTGAAGAGAGCTCGGCTCTTCACATGCAGGAAGCTAACTGGTTAAATTCAGTGTCAGTAAAATGGCTTACAACAGAAAAGGCAAATAAACCTCCACATTAAATGTGCACCTTTGGGGAAAATGCTTACAGAGAGAGCTGTCTAGAAATGAGTGATGAGATAATCCTTTAATTTCATCTATTTCAGGAAGCAGGCGGTAGGATAAGAGCTCTGAGCCCCTATTAGAAAGTTAAGTCATCACTGCAATGTCAAGAAAGGTCAACACCTCCACCTGCAATCCTAGGGGACATTTGGAGGAAAAGACCAATAACCGCTCAGGGAATGAGGGCGGTTTTGCCCTGTTTAGATGGAAGGAGATTCATGAAATTTGCCCCCAGAACATAAAACTAAAACTGCTGGAGGTGTATGCTGACTGTGGCCGTGACTCGTCACACTCCAACAGAAGAACTGGGAGAGGTGAAGTGTTTATGAATGCAGAAATCTTGCTTCCCTCTGATCTGTCCTGTTACCACCACAGCTTGGGTCTGAGCCTCAGACATCCCTTCTGCGCTGAAAGTCATGTCTTGAAGGACTCAAGAGGACCAGACACTGGTCTCTTACTAAAACTGAGACAGGACCGTGCTCTGTGAATCTGGAGACGCTTTGCAGTGGATCTGTCAGGACAAGACGGTGCAAAACAAGGGGCACTTCACCTTCCCTGGGTGTGGAAGCTGTTGGCATTGCTTAAATCCTTTCTAAGCCCGTGATGAGGGTTTAAGTGTTGCTCAGACCACGTGTGGTTCTGCACCCTCACGCTGTGCCATCCTGAGGTCACTGCCAGGCTCAGGCTCCCTCTCCCAGGGACTGGTGCCTGCTTGGTCAGGAGAAAGCCTGAATGACAGCATGGCCAGTGGGAGACCAACAGTGGGTTTTATCTCCTCTTGTCTTGTATGGTGCATTGGAAAACACGTTTGCAAAAAGGAGTCTGAGCACTCGGTGGGATCCAGAGCACAGTGAGGGCTGAGGACTGGAGAGGTCTCGTTTTCACCCATGGATTTTGGCACGCTCCCAATTTTAAGCACCTGACATTTTCTTTGCTTCACAGGTAATGATATCTTCCAGTGGATTCTCCAACGCTTGCAGATCACTGAGGAAGGTGGGTAGAAATGTAAAAAGTGAGGCTTTTTCAGCTTCAAGTTGTAAAACTTTAAGGTCTCCATAGACAAAACCTCTTAGATGAATTCTTCTCTCCTGAGTAGCAGCTCGCTTTTAAATTCCAGCGCGGTGTTTCTGTGCAATCGAAACGTCTGCTTTCTCCATTTTCAGAGGCACTCCACCTGGGGGACCTGTTTGTCAAATATGGGTACATCTACCCTCTTCTGGAGCCAAAGAATCTCACCCTTAAGACAGACGGCAGCCTGTACAGGTTTCAAGTGAGTCTCACCTTTTCTAAAGCCGTTGCGAGCGAGTTCAGCACTAGTTTTAAAAACAGGCAGCTGGGACAGTTCCCCGGGAGCTGTAGTTGTGAGGCCGCGCTGTGTAGCTGTGCTGGTCGTTCTGTGTGCAGGAGGAAGGGATCCACAGAGAAACCCCAGGCCGGTTCCCCTGGTTCCATGTGTCAGATTACAGTTTACAGGGAAACTGTGATACTTCCTTCAACTAAATCAGCGTACTTGTTCAACTTCAAAATAGCTGTGCTTTCTTCCAAACGCACGTCCCCTTCCAGGTCTTAAAGTAGCAAATGGTATTGCTGCTTGAAAATGGAATGATGTGGGGAGAGTGAATGGTGAATATAGGAAAAACATAGTAATAACAGGATCTTATCAAGGTTCATGGACTGTTTCCACTACGATGGGAAACTAGGGCACTTTTGTTGGTATTTTGAATCGGGAGTCTGGTTCCCACGTGGTGCCAGATCAGGCTCCAGCATCAGGCCGAAGGCTCAGGCAGGAGTGAGAGGTTGCCCCTGTTAACCCATTGCAGAGCAGGAGTGGATTTGGCGTTGGCAGTCTGTGACCTCCGTTCTGCTGCTGTAGCTGGCCCACACCACCCTGCGAGCGGACACGCAGCGGGGCGGCTGAGGCTCTGCGTGTAGCAGGGAACTTTCCTTGCCCTCCGGTGTGGGTGATGTCGTGTGCCTCTGGGCACGAGTTCAGGGTACTCTGCACTAACCAAAGGCTTGCTTTCCTGCAGACCCCCTATTTCTGGCCGGCGCAGAGCTGGCCTGCTGATGACACAGACTATGGTAAGTGATAGCATTGTATGTGTTTAGGTGTAGCGCAAGCCCATGTGTTCGTGCACGCAGTCCTGCACCGCGTTCGCTGTTCATCTTTTTGTGCTGCATGTCCAGATGCGATAACCAGCCCTTGCATTTTCTTTCATGCTATTTTATGAATAATTCTCAGTAATGCGGAACTGAGGGAGTGCTCTGGATGTGACCACCTTGTGGTGGCCTTGATGAGATAAAGTGCTTAAGCTCCTCTTACACTGCAGTAAAAGCCATCAGACTGGAACACATCTGAAATGCTCTCTGGGTAGGGAAGACTTTAAACACAAGGTTAGATTTCCCTGAGTAGTTAAGTGGGTTCCTGGATCTGAGCCCAAGACTGTCTTCCTGTATATATGGATCAAGCCCTGCATTCAGAGATGGTTCTTTCTTTATATAATGGAAGTGGCTTCCAGTGTCTCCTGATGGCACTTCCATACCAATCTTGTGTTGCCTTTATAATGCTTTTTATTATAGGGCTGGTCATGAAGCTTGGGCTGCTCAGCTTGGTTTGCTGCTGTGGACTGTGCAGTTCACAGATTGATTTGTTTATACCAAGGTTGTCCTCTGTGGCTTTTGTCTACATTATGCTTCTGGGGAAATAAAAAATCCCATTTTAGATTGGAATGTTTTTAATAGAACTTGGAGCAAAACACTGGCCTGTGTTCGGAAAACTTGGAGGTCAAACTCTGAGGAACCTCAACATCTTAAAGATTTGTTCCAGTGTCCTTTGAGCCATGAAACCCTGGCTGAGTCCCCGCAGGAGGAGGGACTGCTGGCAGGAGGCACACGCTGCCCATTCTGTGTGGCTGCTCCCAGCCTGGGCACTGGCTCCTGGAGCATCAGTGACAGAGTGAAAGCACCAAGTTCATTTTTTTTTTTTTTCAGTGAGCTTGGGGCTCATGCCTGGGGAGATATTGTGACAAACAAAAATTCCTGTGTTTGTCATGTGGGTGAATTTTTAATTATTCTTGGACAGGTTGGTCTCTAAGTGTAACTGACTGCTTATTTGCTTCTCCCTCCATAGCAATTTACCTAGCGAAGAAGAACATTAAGAGGAAAGGGATTTTAGAAGAATATGAGAAGGTAAGGAGATGTTGATACTTGTCCACTGCAAGCCCCTCGTTTGCTGTAGCTTTAGCCCTTTGTTGCTAATGAATGGAATGGAGCAAAAAAATCACCCCTTCAGTTGCATGAGGTGTTACTCCAGCAGTGTCAAAAGCTGAAATTTTGGAAGTGAAAAAGTGGCCAGTACGGGAAAATACGCTGAAGTCAATGATAATTTTAGCAGGGATAATTGCTCTCCTTGCAGTGGTATTTTTGAACTGTTGCAATTCATGTAATTACATTCAGAACAATCCAGATTTCTTGGCTCACTTGCCAACCTGGCCTAGTTGAGCGATGAAGAGTCAAGAAAACCCTAGCATGGGAGCTCCTTGTCCAGAATTTTCACACTAACTGCTTTTTTTATTTTTATTCCAGGAACATTACAACATGCTCAATCAAAAAATAAACTACAAGTGGGATTTTGTTATTATGCAGGCCAAAGAGCAGTATAAGTGAGTTGATTTATGTTCCCTTATTTGCTGCATCGTTGAGGAGGGTAGGGAGAGGCAGAGCTTCACCGTTTTGGTGCACAGTTAAAATTACAGTGTAAAAACATAAGCTGCAGCTTTAAAATAACTTGCGAGTGCCCCCCAAGGTTGTGAAACAAACCTGTTTTTCCTATCGGCTCGGGGTTCCTCCGTTTAACAAGGACACTTTGTTCACTTTGTACTTTGTGAATGAAAGATTTCGGAGGTTTTCTGATGACCGGGTGCCTGCTTGCAAAGCCTCACCCTCACCCGCTGTGCCTGTGTTCCTCTCCCTGCCTGGCATTTGTCTGCCAAAGCCGTGGAATCGCTGCGGTTTGTGAGAGCACAGGCGGGGGTGGGCGCCTTTCCTGCCGACACCTACGCCTGCCTCTTTGCAGAAGGTTTTTGCACATGCGTAAATGTGCAAGTGGACATTTAGATTTTGCACCTGATGTGACTCCCTGAGCAAGCCGGGGTCTGATGCTGCAGCGTGCAAGCTCCCGTTAGAGACAGCTGCTTTTAGCGCACGGTTGTCCATGAGCATTTGTGGATCAGGCCGCTGGACTTAGGAGCTGTTACTGGTCTGGTTCAGTTATTGCTTACACATGTCTCACAGTTGAACTGAACGGCCTGAATCAAGGAGCAGTAAATGTTCCCAGCAGGGACTTCTGGAGAAAACTCTGAAGTGCATACTTAGGCACCCAGCCAAAATTACTTGATTTTAGGAGCTGAATCCTTCAAATTCGCAGGAAAGTCAGTGAACGTGAGATGGGATTACTCCTTTGGAGATAGGATCTTTCCTACCTCTGGGGATTCCTTTTAGCTTTTTTACCTCCCAGCGCGGCAGGCACTGCCTCTGCTGTTCAGCAGCATTTCTGTCTTCACTGGGATGGTAGCCAAGTCGTCAGAATACAGCTCATCAGATAACTGTCTCATTAAACACGAGACTGTTGTTCTTGTAAATTGAGGTCAGACTTAGGCTAAGAGATGCCAAATGCAGTTTTAAAGTTAGATACTGAGACTGTGTCTGAACTGGTAGATTAAACACGTCTGAGGCTGTTTGATGGTGCTGCTGGGGCAGACCAGTGCAGAACAACTCGCATCCACCCTGTTAACCACAGCAGGGTGGCCACATGCAAACAACCTTTTGGGAATGCTCCCTTGCCCCTGCTGAGTCCCAGATTGTGCCCAGGACTTGTCTGGGAAAGAATTAGTTGGTCCAAGCCCAAACCATGCTAGTGCCTCTTCTATTTAATAGTAGAGGTGATTTGGGGTTTAGTGCCTGGGAACGCTGCTTGGTACCGTTTTCATATCGTTCCTGTGAGAAATTCCCCCTTTTACTGCGAGACAGGGACGAGACGTGTCCGGGATGTATCTCTGCATGGCAGTTCTCAGATGCTGCCCCGGGGACATTGCAGATGGATAAACACGAGGCAGCAGGACTGACCGCAAGCGGCGGGTTGTTAGTGTAAGACTACGGAAAAGCTGTCTGTCTAATCAAAAGAGGATGTGTCTGCTCCCAACTGAGCTCAGGAAGATGATGATTTCTCAAAAGCTATGGTCATGTGTGGCCATGTGAGCAGCACGGTCTGCAGTCCAGAATTAGCTGGGGTAAGATGTGGTCAGGAGCATCGTGCAGTCAGGCAAGGACCCCTGGGGCAGGGGAGGCTGGAGGTGTGTGTCCCCTTTCTTGTCCCACTGGTTTCAGGAGAGCAGTATTCATTGAATTCCCCTGGTGGAGTCAAATCCTGTTCTTGGCTTTGCAGGGCGGGGAAGGAGCGGAAGAAGGCGGATAGGTATGCCCTGGACTGCCAGGAGAGAGCCTACTGGCTTGTGAACCGGACTCCCGTAAGTAGAGGATGTCACTGTGTGGCTTTAGTGCCTCGGTGGTGCCCTCCCTGCAGCCCCCTGGGTCAAACTCCCACACGCGAGGGCGTGGCCTCGGGCTGTGCACCCTGTAGCTTCTCATCAGGGAAGGGGTCAGCCCGGGCCTGCCCTGAGTCCAAACCTTTCTCCTTGGTTCTTCTCCCAGGTGCGAGGGAGGGAGGTCTGGCTGCAGCACCCCGTGCTCTGAGGGGAGCGTTTCCAGATTTGAGGAGCACTGCTGGTGGGGAGCTGATGGCAGTGGAGCCCGGTGGGGCACGGGGGACTCCTCATGCATTTGTGTGAACCACAGACTTTAAAACAAATTATTTACAAAGCTATTTGTTTCTTGTTCATAACAGCCTGGCATGCTAGACGTCCTCGAGTACGGATTAGACCGTGTAACGGATCCCAATGAAAATAAGGTAAACCAGGTGAGACAGGGTTTGTTGGTTTGTTTGTTGTTTTTTTTTTTTTCCACACCTACTGAATTTTATTAGGAGGACCCAGACAGTGTCCCTGGGACTGTTGATTCTTGGGCAGTGCAGGCTGAGAGAGTCAGCTCAGCTGTGGCAGCCAAACAGGCCAGAGGTTGAAGCCGCCTCATTGTCCAGTAGGGTGGGGCCCTCAAAATAGGCTTTGGCAGCTTCTTTTGGCTTGACAATCCTTTGTCAGCTTTCTTGCCACACCAGTTAGTGTGAGTGCTTAGCTACAGGACATGTTTTCTTTGCTGGTGAAACTGAATTAAGGAATCCTCTATTTCCAGATGCTCGTTGCTGCCTTTTTGTTAGTGTTGAAGGAACTGTGTGGGGCCTAAAGGATCAAAGGAATGATCCAGGTTTAAAATAAAATTACATAATACCTCCAAAAGGGTGAGATGTGGCAAGAAGATTGTGCGGTGGGTAGGAGACACAAAATGGTGCCTGAAAATGCATATTGTATAGCTAGACTATTGAGAAATGGAATTAATGAACTGAGACTGTGGAGGCTGTAACCGGGTGGGACTGGTTCAGAGTCCACAACGGGACAAATGCAGTCAGTGGATGAGGAGGTGGAGCTGCTCTTCTCTTTCTCCTTCAGTACTTCTAAGTGATCCTGTGTTTGTGCACTTAACGGTGTTCATTTGGAATTGAAGTCAAAGCCTCTCTGGGCAATTACATGCAAATGTTAGTGTGATCACACTCACTGTATTCCCACAACTTCTCACTTTTGTAACAGCCTTTAAACATCTCAACAGCCAGAGGCAGGATAATTGCTTTGGCCAACTGTGTTCTGTTGCTATAGAGACTGAAAATGAGCAAAATGTAGGGTTGGGGTGTATTTTATTTTTTTCTTGCTCTAAGCAGCAGCTGCTTAGAGCCTTTTAAGAGAAAAGGAGCGGTGGAAAGGGAGAGGGATGGAAAAGAGGAGTAAGCCAACTTCTCGCCCACATTTTTACAGCTGACATGGAAGGAGATTTCAGGTTTGCAAACGGTCTGAAAGCCCCAAGCCAGCTGCCAGCTGCTTGGTAGCACAGAGGAAGTGAGCTGAGGGATCTCTGTTCAGTTCCCACCCTGGACATGAGGTGGTTGTTGCCCTCCATCAGCAGAGACTCCAAGGAGAGCCTGAGCCAAAGGACACCAGCTTTGGGGTGACTTCACTTCCTTTGTCCTTTAAGCTGGTCTCTGAGCTGTGCCTTCTCTCTGGAGGCTGAGCTGAAGAGGGAAGGTTCTTCTTGCTCCTCTTTTTGCTTTTGAAAGAGTGATTGACAATACACGAGCCACTTGAAAGCCCACATAGAGCCACGTTTGGACTAGCAGCTTTTTTTTTTAATTTCTGCAGGCTGCTCTACAAACACCTGTGGCTCAACAGGCTTTGGTGAGCAGAAGGGATGGCCCAAGCTCTGTTGGTAAATGCTGAGCTGGACTGTGCTTTGTTGGCTGTATCTCATCCCTGCTGCAGACAGTGCAGAGTTTTATTGATGTTTTCTGTGGTCCCAGCCTCTGGCTCTGACAGAGGTGAAATGACGAGAGCAGAGTATGAGCGTGTGAATCCAGCGCCCATTTATTTGATTTATGTCTCTGTTCCTGCTCAATGTAGCTTCACTTTGTTGGCCAATTAGTTGTCCTTTGTCTTGACAGCTGAGCAAGAAAATATTCCTGGTGACAATTAATTTCTGATATCAGAATGACTTCTTTGAAGCTGATATTGGCATGAACATCTCTCACTTGCCCCAGACCCTTTGGTGGGCTGTTCCCTCCTTAACTGAGTCCTCTGGGGATAAACAGCTGCTCAGCCAAACATTGAACTCCTTTGAAAGGGACTTTTATTACTGACCTCCCGGTTATAATGAGTTAGGAGCTGTAGCTGGGCAGGAGGAGTAAGGCAGGAGTAGCCATCCATTGAACAGCTAATTAAGGGATGCTTTAGCCTTTTGTTACCCAGGTCTCAGGCTCATGATTGAGCCTCACAGCTTAGAGAGTTACCAGGCAACTGCCAGAGCCCGCTGACTCACCTGCGGGGACACACTCAGCTTTTGCTGCCTTCTGTAACCAGAGAGTCTTTCTGAAAGGTGCTGTAGCTTAGCCAGAAATCACCGTGCTAGATTTAGGGGCTACTGAATGAAATGCCCTGGCTTGTTGTACACAACAAATTAGCCGCAGGTCATCGTAGTCATTGCTGGCTTTTCGTTTCTTAAGTCTCTGTCGGTTTGGCTGCCTGATAAACGCGTAACTTGTGCTGCATCTGTCGCATCTTTTGAAACGGAGTCAGAAGCAAATAAGATAGGGGAAAACTGGCGATCTGAACGAAACTGAGCATGTGGACTGTTACAGATCTGGCTTCCAGATGCTGGGCTGGGAGCACCAGCAGTGGAGATGCATGCTGAGATGGTCTTATGCTGGACTCAGAGTTGCCTCTGCCGTGCGGGCTCCCGCTGGCGGTGCGTAGGGAAGGGCTCACGTCTGCACCCGCGAGGAGCGTGAGTGTGTGCGGAGCAGAGCTGTGTGCGTGCCGGAGTGCTCTTTGCCACTGCGGTGTCAGCGAGGCCGTGCCCAGGGGTGTTGTGCTCTGGCTGCGGGATGGTGAGCTCTGGAGGGAGGCTGAGCTGTGTCGGCACTGCCCCGTGCTCGAGGGCTGGTGCTTCGCGCAGGATCCCCGGGGTTGCCCTCGCAGCTTGTTGAGCTGCTGACAGGAGCACTGCAGCTTTCGGGGCAGAGTGAGGGTGTGATTTGCAGTGCCCCGGCCCAAGATGAGCTTTGGATAACAGTGGCATTCAAACTCCATCTGGGCGCGCACACACACGCACACAAGCTGCTGTCCAGCTGTTTATGGCCTCTGTGACCACTGAATGGTGGCCAGAAGGGTGAAAACATAATGATCATTATCTCCACAATGTGGTGAGGAAGACTCACGCTGAGAGCAGAGGTCTGTGCGAATGGTTAGCTGGAAATTAGACGGCCCAGCTCTTGCGGGAGCTTGTGGCTTCAGCCATGTGGATCAGCTCCAGACACAGGGCTCAAGCAGGTCCCGGCTGAGCTCTGCAGCCGCTGCCTGTGTGCGTGGGGAGTGCTCGGCTGGTGGCAGCGGGGTGTGACGAGGCCACGCAGGGTGTCCCAGTGCTGCTGTGTGTCTCGGGGAGGAGGATGTTTAACAGCACATGGTGCTGGCCTGAGCCACACCGAGGTCTTTCACTAATTGCCATTTTGATTTGAAGCCTGCAGGGCTGGGAAGCTTATCCGCAGTAATTGCGATAAGTCATTCGTTAAGGGCATAGCAAAATTAATCTCATTATAAGAAATGGCTCTCTTGTTCCAAATATTATTTCCTTCCAAATGAAGCAGGGTGGGTGGGTGGTACAGGGCACTTTGGCATTGCTGCTGTCAGTCACAGGGGGTGCGGCTGGGTAGGATCGTGGGGACAACTGCCAGCGCTCAACAGCACACAGAGAGTGTTCAGGGTCGCTTGTTCCAGCAGCAAAACTGGAAATTGGTCATGGGAGCACTGTGGGAGAAAGGCACATGAAATGATGTGCAGCTCTGGGGTGAAATAGCTGAGATCCTTCCCAGTTACTCTGGATTTGAGAACTGGAAAGGCCTGAGCACAGCCAGCACCTGCAGCCCTCAGGAGGGTGTTCATGCTGGGCTCCTCTTTGGTTTGGCTGCAGGGCAGCGTGTGCCACCACTCAGTGGTGCTCAGCCCTTTCATGCCAGAGCCCTCTTCTCTGTGCGAGCCTTGGCAAATCCCCTCCCCGCCCTGCAGCCCCCCACCACAGCCCCCCTGGTCTTCCCAGGACCAGCTCACCGGAGGGCTGACCTACATGCTCAGGCTGTGACAGGAGGGGATCCATCATGTAGGATGCACTTGGAAAAAAAAAAAAATCTTCCCTTGTTTGCAGACATGGCATTAGCTTTGATTTTTACTCACTGACATATAATATGTCTGTTGTGATGGCATTTTAATTCATGCCTCTCTTGCTCCATGTAACATTTAACTTTCTGTGTTCTTTTTCCCACCAGCTGTTTGTCTCGTGTGTGTGTGGTGTGCTGTCTGCCTCTAAGACCCCTGTAGAAGAGAACACAACTTTACTACCACGTGAGCCGCCTTCAAGCTGCTCTGCCAGCATCCACCTCTCCTCGCCCCACTGTACCAGGCCTGTCCCAGGCACCCACTTGTCAAAACAGAGGAAGAAATGAGGGGCCTTTTTAAACCATCTAATGATTTGAATGTGTTGATTTTCCTAAAGTAAATGCCCTAGCCACCCTTCAGTTCCATCAGATGGAACAGTTCAGCTGGCACTTACAAACCAGGCCCCATCAGATTTACATCTCGGGTTCCCCGAGGAGATTGTGAACTCCTATTGTGCAGGAAATAGCTGACCTGAAACAGAAACAAAGCTCTCTGAAGAGGATACTTCTAGGACAGTAAATGCAGTGAATGTCTCTGCGCAAGCAGCTGACATTTTTTTGTTTTTTCCCTTCCATTTCTACAATCTATCTGAAACAATGATGACACTTGTAGAAAGAGATGGAAGACATGGTGTCTGCATGGAAGCTGACCTGGCATCAGGGGTGCAGCTAAGAGCAGAGAAAGATGAAAAGCTGTTCCCTAGTCCATGTGTCCTCCATCATTTATAAGATGCCCCAGGAGCCTTTCGATCAGCAAGGGAGGCTGTACAGCCCTGTGCCCAATGATCCTGTTGTCCAAGAGCTTTTTCTCCCCCTTGATGTGTCAGCCCATCCCACCTTGCACACAGTTCCTTGTGTGTGGCCAGCAAAGCATCGCTGCTTGTGCAGCTACTGTTTGCTTTCCTGTTTGTCCCCGCTGAGGTGATGTGCATGGCAGTCATTCAGAGCTGGTTGTGGTATTTCCAGCAGAAGCTTCCTCCCCGTGCAGTGCCACAGGGAGGATTTCTGTCAGTACCACGCTGGCCAGGCGAGGTTTGTGTGAGGATCGGATGGGCTGGCTTCGGGGTAGTGCTGTACAGATTGGCTGATCTGCTGCATATCTGGCCCCTGCTGCTGAAATGGTGAGTGTGCCCTCACAAAACCAACCAAGCTTCACCAAAATATGCGTATTTTTCTTCCACACAGAGAACAGTTTCTCCCTCCTGAGCAGGCCTAGTGATGATGGGTAAAATACAAAACTAGATCTTCATCAGTGTCCCCACGATGGTCCCCTGGGAGAGCCTCTTGGCTTCCCCAAAATAGAGGCAGCTCAGGGTGCAGGTTCTTCTGGGAGCAGCAGGCTGCCTGTGGCGTTCAGTACGTTATGCTTCATCCCTCATCGCTCACAGACTGCACTCTGCAGACCCATGTCTGCCACGGGGTTAGTTTGATGGGATAATTCTGGGCTGCAGATTAGTGGTGTGACTTTTGTTGGCTAAAATGGGAGGTGCAGAACTGGAACCCTCTAAAGGCTTGCTGGGGGCATCCCTGGCTGGGCCTGTCTTTCCTTCTCCCTCAAGTTTATTTCACACTAACTGTGCTTCAAAGGAAGCTGTGGGAATAAACACCCTGCAGTTAAGTTTGCCTCCAATTGCTTGCTCATTTGTGGATGACATGTAACATAGGCTGAGTTATTCAAATCACAGCGTAAGCACCCTTTGCACAGCAGATACTGCTTCTGAGGCTTTTAATTGTGGTGTTTATATTTTGCAATGTGTTGGTTCCTGTCTCCTTTAGCTAATATTGAATGATCTAATCTGTGTCTCGTAAATGAATCTATTTTAGCTCCATTAGAACAACCCCTTAATTGAAGGCGTACAGGCAGCCTGTGTTGGAAGAAGCAATGCTAAACAGTAAATACAGCTAATGGAACGATTTACGGTGTGTGGATGCTCTTAGCTTTGATGATACCCTGATTAGCTGAGCTGCTGTGTTTGATTTTAATTGTAATGAGAATTAATTGGAGAGCACTGCACAACGGCAGCCCTGCAACGGTGTTTTCATGTCTCAAAGACGAGTGAAAGCACCCACCCCACTTTAATGGGTTTTGTTTTTTTTATTTTACAGAAAAAAAATATAGCCTTTTACAGGAGAGAGGTAAGTGGTCCTTCCCTCACTTGGAGGTGTTTATCCTGTATGTATCACTTATATCAGTGTTGATGGGGGCTCCAAGCCCCCTTTGCAGGGGATGGATAGTTTTAAAAATGCCTGGGTTTGGCTGGCAGAGTCTCTGCCTCATGGAGCTTTCAGGAGCTTTCCTGCCTCTGCACCTCCCGCTGCGGGCAGCCAGCTACTCTCCCAGTGACGGGAAGGCTCAAGCAAGGACAGACACCAGGGCTAAAATCAAATAGATCAAAATCAGTGGTGGGGAAATCACAGGAGATACATCCAGTGGCGCCAGTGCCGAGACAGCCAAGGATCAATGATAATTACATGCTAAATTATCCAGAGCATTTGTAGGTGCCTCGAATGGTGGCTGTTATCCAATTTTTATATAGCACGGGGAGTGCTTTTTAATTACCTGCACATTGCAAAACACTCTTCTGACGTTTGCCATAAGCTCAGTGAAAACGGCCGTTTTACTAAGACAGTTCTCAGGGATTCTCTGATTCCTTGGCCATCCAGTAGCGAGGGAGGAAGCAGCCGGTGTTGTAGTGAGCCTCACTACCTGGCAGAGGGCACGTCTGAGGTTCAGAGACAGCCTTGTCTTCACGTCTCCATGCTCCTAACCATGGACTTGTCTGATCCCTCGCAGATCATGTACTATCAGCAGGCCATCATGAAGACCAGAGTGAAATCTTCTGTCTCTCTTGGAGGGTAAGTCCTGATTTCCTTCTGTCCACATGTTAGTTAGTCTTCAGTGCTTATCTCCTAATGAGATGATGAAGCTCTCTGTTCTGGCAGCTGGTGAGTCAGTCAGGGGAATCCATGCGGTGGCCACACGCAGTGTTTGTGCTGTCTGGGCTGTGTGTTGCTGGGGCCAGGAGACACAAGGCAGAGGAGGGATCAGAGCCCCAGCCATGATGAAGAGGGTTCCCTGGAGCTAAGGAGAGCTTTGCTGTCTGTCTGCAGAGCAGCCTCCCGGTTGAGATTCTCTCCGAAATCAAGAGATGTTCAGACTGATCAGGGCTGGATTATGTCACTTGGGACCCAGCACAGTTCTGGAAAAGCAGCTGCGTGGAAGCTGCCTTGTGAGGGTGCAGCAGAGTGTCCTGTGCCTGTTCCTGTGTGGTATCAATAACCAGTGGAAGACAGAGTGACCCTCCTGTCCCTAGTCCCCAGCCTGCTGGGCAGGATTCAGCCCCAGCACATGTTCTTGCTTCTATGGTGATGCTCACCAGGAGGCAGCAGGGCTGGGGAAGTCTCTGGTTATTCTGTACTGTGAAGGAACACAGCCCTCCCCATGAATATCCAAGCAATTAGCAATTCCCCTTCTCAGTGGGAGTGTTTCCTGATCAGATTCTTGATGAAGCCAATTACGTGCAAAGCTCCTAGTCCTAGCATTAGCCATTAGTGTGTTTGCCACAGGCATTTCTTACCTGGAACCTTATGAGCTGGCCAGTTGCCTGGAGGTGCAGTCCCTACCTCCAGTCTGTTTTACATAGTCATTGCCACCCAGAGATTGATATCAAGTCTAAAATAAACAAGGTGCTCAGGCCTGTTCTCTGGGAGAAGGCAGCTGTGGATGGATGAAATAGGAGGAGGAGTCTGGGAAGCAGTGCTGTCTTCTGAAAACCAGAACTCGTAAGGTACCAGCACTTCTGCTCATTTCATCTGTCACTGACTCCCAGGTCACTTAAAACTCTGCTGCCTTAATTTTCCAAACTCTGAGCTGGATCTGGGGACACCTGGCTGCCTTCCAGGTATTTTGTGGTGTTTTGGCATTGGAGCTTCTCACTCAGTTCTGGTCCTCTGATGGGATAATGCCTATCACCTAGATCAAAAAATCCTCAGGAACTTTGGATCTCCATCTCAGCTGCAGAACTGGGTCGAAATCAAATTATTATTGATGAGTACATGAACAACGACTAGAGAGTGTGCATGTGTCAGAGCATTGCGTTGATTTAGGAGGAGCTGCAAAGCACTAATCATTAAAAGGACGGAGCAACGTTACCTGAGTTGACAGGTTTAGATTTGTAGCTTGATTAGAAGATTATATGGATTGGAGTGAATAAAGCGGGTGCTGGAACGCCTTGGCGTTTCCAGTGAGAAGATAGGATCGAGCCCTTCTGTGCCAAATCTGTGGTATGCTTTGTGCAGTCGCATTCTATAATTGCAGGATCTGTGCCAAGGTGCCTGTTAGCAATGGGCCCTTGGACAGTGCACTCCCCAGCTTTGAGCACATGAAAGCAGTTGGGCCTGGAAGGAATTTTAAACGCAGAAACCAGATGATTTTTTCAAGAATGAAAAAGGGAGGAGAAAGCTAAAATTCCAGGACATTAGTGAAATCGGTTGTAATTATGAGTCTGGCCAACTTAGAAGGTAGGAGAAATGTTTGTCTCTATCCTAGCAGGAACCAGACATTTTTGCTTTGTGCCAAGCCCTCAGAGCCGTTTGCAGAGGCATGAGCCATGCGGTAGGTGAGAGGAGAAGCCGGGATGCGCCCTCAGCACTCACTCCCTCACCTCTCCCGGAGCTCCCGGGGCTCTCCCACGCCCCGTGGGAAGGCTGTGGAGAGCAAACACAGTGCTCGCTTTCCTCTTCTCTGGCACTTCCCTGTCCGTAGCGCGTGGCACAGAACGGTGCAGGGTCAAGCCTTTGCCAGTTGGCTGGAGAAGGAGACAGAAAACATTTGGGGGCTTAGTCCCACTTCCTTGAAGAGGCAAAAGGAGGTGTTGGAAGAAAGTCTGGTATCTCCCAGCACTTGAGCTGGCAAAATTGCTGCTTTGAGAGACAACCAGGAGATTACTGCTTGGGAAATGGAAAAGATTAACTGAGCTAATGAACCAATTTTTCTAGTAAGGCAGGGCCATGTTCCAGGTCCCCGTGCTGGTAGGGCTGCACCTCCGAAGATACCTATAGCCTGTGCTATCTTTATTTGGTTGTAACGGGGGTGGCTGCAGTTCTGCCTGCAAATTAAGAGTTTGATCTTGTTGGATTTCCTTGCAGGCTGGTGAAGTACTCTGAGCAGTTCCTCTCCAACGATCCTATCCTGTCTGGATGTCTCCCCAGCAACCCCTGGATAACAGATGACGCTGACTTCTGGGATCTCAATGCCAAACTGTATGTATTTGCAGTCTCTTGCCAGCTTGTGGTTTACACTGATGTTTATGGTGATAGAAATCAGAAAAGGGAACCGTGGATTTCATCATGACAGCTGGTCTCTGATCATGAGCAGGGAAGTGTTCCCTTCCTGACACAGCTTGGCCATGCTGAAGAAACTCTCTTGGGAATACTCTGCGCTGAACTTCCAGCATAATCTTCCTCAGGTGGAACCTTCCTTAACGTTACATAAATTCCAAAACTGATGATGGGAGGATGCACTCAGCCCCTGCTGAATGGGCCCAATCCTCCCCTTGGGTGAGAGAAGTCCACTTTTACCAGCACAGGAATTGAATATAACCAGTTACGCTCACATAAAGCACTTGGTTTAGTGTTAACTTTGTTAAGTTAGGCGCTGCAAATGGTGTAGCAATTCAGGTTTCAACTACTGGCCCTTGGTCTTTGCACAAACCACAGGCTGCTTTCTTAGGAGAGAATTTGGTTTGAAGGCACGAACTGGCAGTCCATCTCTTCTCTGAGGTTTCCCTTGGTTCTCCATTCAGATAGTATTTGCTAATTATACAGTGACATCTCCGGGCTTGAAGCATACAACATATTACTGGTTCTCATCTGAGACCAGCAATCCTGTTAGAGTGATACTATCCCCTTAGACAGCCCCAAAGGATGCCTTCAGAGAACGCTTTTATAAGGAGCAAAGCTCTGGGCAACAACCAGTGCCTCCTCCAAAACGGAACTGAGTCAAACCTCCGGCAAAGCTGGGCTGTCACCGTGAGAGCAGTATAAATCCCAGATAAATCCTCATCCCACTGTGTACCAAGTTGTTTAATTATGGCTTACTTAGTGGGCTGACTTTAGGAGCTCATTACAGCATTCTGGAAAACGGAGAGTGCTGAGAAGTCTCTTGGCATTCCGGCAAAGGGCATTTTGGTTTTAATTAATCTGCCAATTAGATGAAACTGGCAGTGCTGTTTGTTTTCAACCTGTGCAGGGTGGAAGTCCCCACCAGAATGCGTGTGGAGCGATGGGCCTTCAATTTTAACGAGCTCATACGGGACCCGAAAGGTCGACAGAACTTCCAGATCTTCCTGAGGAAGGAGTTCAGCGGTGGGTCTGCTGCGTCTCGGGCTGTGTCACAAAGTAAAAGCAGTAGAAGTGACTCTGGAGGCAGTGGCTGTGCAGCCAGAGCGTGCAATACCATCTAGTGGCCCAGGACACAAAATACAGGCCAGGGCAGTCCCTGTGCAGGGGGGGCAGCTCCCAGGCAAGCTGGATTCACAAACTCACAGAATTACAGAATCATCAAGGTTGGAAAAGCCCTTGAAGCTCCTCCAGCCCAACCATTAACTTCACACTGACCATTCCCAACTCCACCAGATCCCTCAGCGCTGGCTCAGCCCGACTCTTCAACCCCTCCAGGGATCCCGGGGACCCCCCCCCTGCCCTGGGCAGCCCATTCCAACGCCCAACAGCCCCTTCTGCACAGAAATCCTTCCTCAGAGCCAGGTGTAATATGCAGATATTACAGATGTCAGCGAGCAGAGAGCAAGGGAAGGCAGTTTTCCTCCTTCAGCCTCAAAGGGATTTTTTCAGGTGGCTGTAAGAATTGGAGAGACTGAATTGGGGCCAACATGTGTCAAGTCAAACAAATTCAGTTTAGGAGTTAAGTGGGATTGCACATCCCTCAGTCTCGCTCTCTGCTGACTGTGTCCTTGTTACGCAGGGGAGAATCTGAGTTTCTGGGAAGCCTGTGAGGATCTCAAGTATGGAGACCAATCCAAGGTCAAAGAAAAAGCAGAAGAAATTTACAAGTGAGTGTGACAATTTTACATTCTTAAACTCTTTGTACATCACCATCCACATACTGTCATTCTTGAAATGGTTTATTCCCCAGACTTCTCTTTGTAGCTGTCATCAAATGTAGCTGTCCTATGTCCCCACGTAGGAAAGGAGCTTTTTTGAAGATGAAAGCATAAGTATTGTTTTGTTATATAGTTACTTTTCCTTTCTGTTCTCCACTATTACATTTAAGTCTTAGCATGTAATTTAAATAGAGGTGTGGAATAGCAAAGATCTTGGAGCTGCCCCAAGGAGGTGCTTCCAGTGGGCTAAAATTTGGTTTATATGGTGTGCTAACAGTGCAAGAGGAAGTGACTGCATGTTGTGCTGTTGAAAAGGAGATTGACTGGCCAGGATCAGGACCGCAAATTATAGTGGGGAGCTGAAGGGACTTTTCCTTTCATGCATAGACAGAGGGATCTCCAGCTGTTAATGGCACTGTTGATTCCTCCTCCTTGCAGGCTCTTCCTGGCTCCAGGAGCAAGGCGCTGGATTAACATTGATGGCACAACAATGGGCATCACTGTCAAAGGTCTCCAGCACCCTCATCGTTATGTTTTAGATGCTGCTCAGACCCACATTTACATGCTGATGAAAAAGGTTTGTTATTTGTTTCCAAAGCCTTAGGGGGATTCCAGTTCTTTGGGCCTTTCCGTGCTTTTGTGTGCTATCAGCTGTCACTTTCAAGTGACCTTTATTTGAAAAATCCCTCAAATTTCCTGACTTAAGCAAGCACTGGTTCAAACCTTTGTATTTTGCTGCTGCTTCTTCCCTCTAAGGCAGCCATGTCCCCAAGGAGGTGGGAGTTAAGTGTCTGCTGGAAGTCCTACTTTCTAATACCAGCTTGGCCACCAGCTTATTCAGAGCTTGAACAAATCTTTTAGCTTTACTCAGTACCACTCTGTGCCACATCAGGTATCCCTGTGGTGGGATGCTTGTATCCAGCTGAATTTCAGCAGTGGATGGGAAAGAGAGTAGTAATTGTGATACAACTGCGTGAGTTTTGTACCGAGAGTGTAACCAGATGTGGCCCATCTCAGGTTTCACTGTGTTTTTTCAGACATTTTTCTGCAGTTCTGTTGATGAGTGTGCTTCTTTAGGCCTGACTGATGCAGCAGACTGCAGGCTGATGTCAGCGTGCAATATGTCATGGCTTTCATTAGGTCAGGGTGACCACAAATCACCTGTAACTCCTCCTCCTTCTGAGCGATACCAAATGCACTTAGAAGGAAGGAGCATTGTGGGCCAGAGCAGCAGCTGATGCACGTTGACACTGAAAGCAGCACAGCTATACTGATTTTTGCCAGTTGTTGAAAAATTCAGCTCCTGAAACACGAGCACTTCACCTTACAACGACTGTGAGACACCATTGGCCTGGGCTAAGCTCAGTTCAGACCTTTTGGTCTGGATCTTACCTGGGAAGCTCGACTGTGAGATGGAAGTCCTGGGAATTTTACACCAAGATGAAAGGCTATTGGTTTAAATAGCTACATTTGCCTGAAAGATGCAAAGTCCCTTGGGCTGCTGGGGGAGATTATCTGGTTCCCAGCCGCTGTGGCTCCTGAGCAGCTGTATTTGGTGGTGATTTTAATAAGGGTGTTTGCAGCCCATAACTACCAGTTTCTCCTCTTTCCTCCTAGTAGGACTCCTATGGCCGCTATTTAAAGTCTCCAGTATACAAGGAAATGCTGGCCAAGGCTGTTGTGCCACAAGAGACTGTCAAAAAAAGGCAAGTGAAACTGGATATAATTGTGGGTTTTGTTTTTCTTGTTGTAGCAAGGGTAGAAAAAGCTTGAGTTGCAGCAAAATTACTATGATTTAGATGTTCACTTAATTAAATAAAATTTTTTGCTAAAAAGATGCTTTGCTTTGAGACTGATTATGCTGTTTATTTATGAGCCTTTGGAAGTGGCTTGTGTGCAGTCAGAATTGACTTGATGATTGCTCGGCTGCCTCGTCTGTTGGGTCTCTTTGGAAAGGCTGTGATTGTTGAATTGATCACAGCTCCTTTCCTGGAAGGAGAGAGCACAGTGTACTGGGCATGGGAAGCCTCTTTCCCCCCCTAAAACACTGGCTGCCACCCTGGGGTTTGCTCAGCTCTGCCCGGACAAAGCCACTTAACCCCTGCGAGGCGAAGGTGACAGCAGCTGCAGCAGAACAAACAGCATCTTACTTGCAGGTGGCTGCTGGCATGAGGTTGGTGGCCTTAGAGGCAGGCTTGAAATGGCTTTTCCCAGCCAAGATGAATTTAGGCCGTTTGAACTGCAGTTGCTTCTTAAAGCTGAGCGTGCGGTGTCAGCCAGACTGGGTGGTGCTTCTTTCTCTGTTCCTCTTCCACTCCTCAACCTAGCAAGCAAGAAAGAGGAATCATGGACTTTCACGCTACTGTTTCATCTAAAGCCTATTTTCAAGTCAGTGGAAAAAACCCTCCTGCTGACTTGCTTGGGGTTTGGTTGGTTTTTCCCTGAGCTGCACATCACAAGATCACTGGCAGATGCTGGTTGACCCCTGGTGACTCCCTTCGTGTTTGTCAGTGCCTGTTCTGGAGACACGATACCCAGCGTCCTGCTTAAACTGGAGAGCTAGTACCTCATCCACGGGTGGCTTAACACTTGGTTCTGCTGCTGCTGGTAATGGCTTTGCTGACGCAGGTAGTGGGTGTTTTCTGAGGGTATCACAGACACTAGAAGCACCCGTGCTGGTCCCTGTCTTGATCTTACTGAGGGCACTAGAGAAAATTCCGCTGATGGCAGTTGTTTGAGTTCACGCTGAGTGTTAGTTACGTGCAAATGCTTACAAGAAAAGGAGCAATGTCCTGGCGCTGGGGTCCCTCATGAGGACCAGGAACAGGACTGACTTTACCCTTCTAGCAGTTCTAGATGTGTGACACTGAGTCACTGAGTCATGCTTTAAACCACCTCATCCACGTTTGTGCTTCCTTCTTGTTGCGTGGGTGACAGTGGCACGTGCATCTCTGTGTCTGAGCTTGCCCTCCTGGTAAGTTTGCTTACCGGGGGGGAGTTTTTGATGCCCTTCTACTTTTCATTAACGCCCTGCTGCTTCTTCCTTTCACTCTCTGCCCAGTTCCACTTTCCTGTTTGGCCGCCGTCAGCTCCGCTCCAGCCCCAGCCCCATCATCCTGAGGCAGCAGGAGGAAGAGGCCAAAGCCAGAGAAGCCGCCACGACCGTGGACATCACACAGGTCATGAGCAAGCTGGATCGCAGGAGCCAGCTCAAGAAGGAACCTCCCAAGTAGGCTCTGAGCCCCGCAGGGAAAAGACAAGCCGAGGCTGGTGTTGAGCTTCGTCTCCCCTTCCTGAAGATGTCAGTGCTGCTTTAGGTTTCCCCGGCCGGCTCTGCCAGCAGCCGCATCCTGCACGTTGCCATGGCTCCTGCAGCAGCAGATGTCACTCCCCAGGCATGGGAGTGCTGCTGGAGCCAGGCCGCTGGCCGTGCCGGGCTCGGGGTGCAGGGCCTCGGCTCCCGCCCTGCACACCCTGGAGTGGGAAAATGCCTTCTGGCTTCCCCAAGCCCCCTCCCGAGGTTGGGCAGTCTCTCCCTGCCTCCTGCTCCTCCAGGAGGTGGGATGGCACAAGGCAGAGTAAAGCTCTGCAGTCCCAGTCCTTCGGGTTCAAATCAGCCTTCCTCGGAGCAGAGGTGGGTGGCCCCGCAGGGAGCAGGGCGAGGTGGCCCTCGGAGCACGCCCGTCCTCTCGGGGGGGGCGTGCACCCTCCCAAGGGGCTCATCCTGGGCACCCCCTGAGAGGAGTGCACCCCTCACTTTGAGCATCCTGCACCTCCTAGCCAGCACAGCGGAGCCACAGGCAGAAGAGCGGGGTACGCTTCTTGTGAGGGTGGTAGGATGAGTGTTTCTGAAGGTTTAGTTTGAATTTTAACGCCACTCCCGATTTCCCCCGGCACGTTGGAGATGCTCAGCAGAGAGCTCTGCTCTCCCCTGAGACTCCCCCACACGATGGGCTGGGTGTGCAGGTGTACAGAGCCTGCAGGAGGGCTTGAGAGATGCAGCCGTGGCTTTGTGTTTCTTTTATCAAATCCTTCTTACCTCTTGTCTTGTCTTTTTCCTGCTCTTCTATTTTCTGTCGTTAAAAAAAAAAAAAAAAATGAACAGGAGGTAGTTCCAGTTGTCAGTGGCTTGTAGCCCAGAGGCGAGGAAGAACCAGGGTAGAGGTGTTAAGAGCTGATTTTAAATTTAAGTAGTGGTTGTCTTTTGGGCTGGTTTTTTTTTTTTTTTCATTTGCTCTGTTTCTTTCCCTTTTTAGAATGAGGCAACCTAAAATACTACCTTAGTGCTAAAGAGCTCAGGGAGATTCCAGGCTTTGCTGGGAAACCCCTGCGTGTCTGGACAAGGCCGATGATTACCAGAACTGGTAACATTCCTGGAAAGCCTAGTAAAGGGAACTGGAGGGGCAGAAAAAGCTTCCCTGTTTTTTAAGGGAGGCAGAGGGACCGCATGGGAAGTACTGAGTTCCGGGAAGCTTCTTCACTCCGGTTTGTATTGTTGTTCATTGTGGTTCCGTTTTTACTACCGGTCTGATTTTACAGGAAATGGGAGATGGAGGAAGCTGGATGTGAGTGGGAGCCCTCGGGTACAGGGTGCAGGCAGACCAGCGCCGTGCAAACGGGGCGATATCAGGGGGTAGCTGGGTCCCAACAGCTTTGAAGAGCGAATCTTGCCCTGCCTGTGGCGTTATCAGCGGCAGAATTGGGGCTACAGGGTCTGATCTGGTATCTCTGCAGAACTGGCCTCCGCCTCTTTGCAGCTGAGCTGGGGAGATTTTCCTGACCTCTGTTAACCTAACAGTGATAAACCTGCTTAGAGGAATTGAAACCAAGTTGTATGAGCCCTTTGCTCTGATGTCAGGGTCTGCTTGCTAAGTCTCTGCTCTTACTCCCAGTGGAAGCAATGGCAAATTTTGCAGTGCTGTAAGGGTGAGCAGGCTCAAACTGTAATTTAAAAAAAAAATCTGCTTCAAACCACAAGGCTTTTTTAAGTCAGATGCTGAGCACTGTCAACCTACCTTGATATAAGAGCACTGAAAGATGCTCAAGAACTTGGCAGGGTTGGTCCGAAGTTACTTGGATATGATGAGCTCCACCATCTCTTCCGAGTTTGTGTAACATGGAGCATGTTGGGATTGCCAGTATGTAGTAACATGTGGAAGATCAAGTCAGGGTATAAATAATAAATAACAAATCTGTGTGTTCCAGTCAGTCCCTCTGATTCTACTTCTATTCTGTCTGCAGCTTTGCTTTTTATGTTCTCTCTATCCATTCCTTTCTCTGATTTTTCATCACCTCAGCTTTGCATCGCTGTCCCCCTGCCATGGGTTAAAGCTGCGTGCTCTGGAGGCACTGCTGGTGAAACACCAGTCCTACACTTGCAGGCAGAAGCTGGCTCTGTTCTGCTTATAGGCAGAATAAGCTGGCATGACCCAGCCCCCGCTCCTCGGTCCCTGCTGTTTGGTCCCTGAAGAGGAAGGTCGCTTGGTACAAAGTGTGCCCACGGTACAAGCTGAACTTCACTTTGTGCCAGCCAAGAAATTGTTTGTTTCCACTGGAAATCAGAGCCATATGCTGTTTCAGTTCTTGGCCATCGCTTCTATGCATTCATCTGTCTAATAAAAATAAATGTAGAAAATGAAAAAAAGAACCGAGTTCATCCTTCTCTGTCTTGTCTCAGTGTGCTCATCCTTCACCGTGTCATCTCTCTGCCGTGCATGCCTGCGTTTTCTGTTTGTGCCTCTGCTCTCAGCGCTTTGGATGCTGGAGCTGCGTTTCATTTCTGCTGGGAGTGAGTCCTTGGGAAAGGGGGGGGCGGACCCCAGCATGTCCTCAGCTGATAAATCTGTACTTGGGCTTGTCCTGAGGGCTGAATTAGCTGAGCTGGAGACTTCCCAGCACCAGCCAGGGACACTGGGGGCTTCAGCACAAGATGTGGCTTGTATTACTGGTCGTCAGGGTTTGGAGCTCACGCTTCTCTTTCTTGGCCACCACAGCAGCCAGCACGTCGGTGCTCGGGGTGTGACACGGTTACGCCGTTCGTACCCGAGCTCACATTCTCGGGATAACAGACTCCTCCGTGCCTGGAGCTAATCGTAAGGAATGAGACGAGCTGGTGTCTCCTGCAGCATCGCAGCGGGTGTGGGGCCGGAGCTGTCAGCAGCACCCGCTGAGGCTGGTAGCGATGGCCCCGCTGCTTTCCGTGGGCAAATTGCGACACCTCCGCTCTCCCGCTGCAGGAGGGGCAGGGAGGGGGACAGAGCTGCAGGAGAGGGGGGCACGGTCCCAGGCTTGTCTCCCAGCTGAGCCCTGCCTCTCCCTCAGCCCTGGCAGCACCCAGCCCTTCTCCTCCAAAGGAGTACAAGGCTGAGGAGACCAGCCACCGGTGTGCCCCCTCCCCAGGCCTGACCCAGCCTCTCTCCTTTTCCTCCCCACAGCCATGCCGCCAGGCCCCTTGCCTGGGTGTCTACACTGGCCCCGGCACCCCACCATTGCTGCCCGCTGGCCCCGGCAGCCTGTTCCCCGGCCCCCCGGCTCTGCCCTGCAGCCCCTCGCCCACCAG